GAGGAGGAGGAGGAGGAGGAGGAGGAAAAGGAGGAAAAGGAGGGGAGAGGTGAGAGGAGGGGAGGGGTGAGAGTAGAAGGAGGAGGAAGAGGAGGACAAAGAAAGGGTACCCTCCGCCCAAGGCCTTTGAGCCGACACAGTCCTTCTTCTCTTGGCCTTGGCTGGAGCAGCACCAGTGGCCACTCCAGGGGTGAACTTGAGCCTTCTCAGCCTCTGTAATCATGGGGAAGCTGCTACTTAAGAGAGATAAATGCATGCAGAGCCCAGTGGGCTTCCCTGGAGGGCCTGGCGTGATGAGGAGCAGAGACAAAGCCACTGGGGCCACGTGAAGAGGGTCCACTGGGACCAGGTCCCGCGTAGACCTTGGAGCTGGAGCCTGGGGTGCAAGGCTAACGTGGCCCCCATTCCCACGCTTGCATGACTTGAAGAAAACGATCCGTGCGCAGCAAGCCATTCCTGCTCGAAGGGGCGTATTTTTAGCCAGGCACAAAAAGATGAAGGAAGACAGAGTTATGACAAGGAAGACAGAGAGGGACCGAGCTTGCGAGAAGCCGTGCGGACCTTGCGCTGCATTTCGCCTTTTCCTGTGGCCGCCATCTTGAGGCTCCAGGAGAGGAAAAGACGGGACCTGGAAGTTCTTTGGTCCTCTTGCCTCATCCGGCCTGGGTTGGGGAGGGAGCCGGGAAAGACGTGGCATTGGGCAGGAGTGGCCTCTTGGGGTCATACCCAGGGATGGGGTGCCCAGCTGAGGCCCAGGGGGCTGCCCAGGTATCCCCAGTGCCACCACGGCCAGAAGCCGGTCCCCACTCTGCAAAGCCAGGCCGGGCCTTGGCGAGTCACGGTTAGCACGGGCACGGGCCGTCCGTGTCCTCTGCCCACGTCACAGCGGTGAGCTCACACCGCCCGGGCCGTGGGAGTGGGCATCCCAGATGAGGGGGTACGGCCTCCATGACACCTGGCCAGGTGCTGATTGTCCCCCCCCCGTCCCCTGCGGCACCACCCCCTCGAAGCAGCTCTGAGCATTACCTGACCGCACACGGAGGCTGCCGGCCGGCCAGTGCGCAGTGAGCTTCCCGTCCCGTCCGCTGGACGTGCAGCCCACCCGGCCGCGTGTGGAGAGGAGAGGCTCCCTCGGCACCCGAGTCCACAGGAGCCCTGTGTGCCGCTCTCTCCCACGCATGCGCAGCTCCTAGCAAGCCAGCTCAGGCTGCCACAGGCCCCAGAGCCCCTCAGCCACACGTGGCCTGACCACTGGACTGAGGAGGGGGTAAGGCAAACTCCAGGCCTTGTGGCAGAGGGGAACTGAGAACTGAGGCTCCAAACCCTGAAAGCCATCAGCTCAAGCCAGGACGAGATAACGGCTACGGAGGGGGGTGGGGCAGAGCGGTGGCGTCTGTCCTGTGCTCGCCCACCTGCCGTCCCTGCCCTGTGCTCGCCTCCCTGTGAGTTCAGGCCTGTGCTCGCCTCCCTGTGAGTTCAGGCCAACCTCCAGGAGCAGCCGCTCCCCCTGCCTGCCTGTCTGCCCACCCAGCTCAGCCAGCCACACCCTCCGCCAGCCGCGCCCTGCTGCTCCTGCCTGTCATCCTAGCTGCTCAGGAGGCTGAGGTCTGAGGATCCCAGTTTGAAGCCAACCCAGATAGACAAATCCAAAATACTCTTCTCCCCACTTAATTAGCAAAAAACTAGAAGTGAAGCTGTGGCTCAAGCGGTAGAGCAACACAGCTTGGAGCAGAGAGAACCAAGCAAGAGCCTGAGGCCCTAAGTTGCAGCTCTGGTATTAGCACAAAACAAAACAAGACAAAAACACCAAAGCATCCTCGCTGGCTCCTGGGACCTGAGCCAGTGCCCCCCCCGCTCCCCCCCCCCCCCCCGCCCACGGGACAGGCCGGGCAGTGTGCTCTGAGTCACCCCAAGCCTCGGAGCCATGCTTCCTCCACAACACAGCCACAGAAATGTTTGCTTTCAGGCTTGCTGTGGCGACTGAGTCAGAACGAGAGGGAAGGCAGATTTGGGCCCCGGGGTTCTTGCAGGTGCATGCTTGCATGTGTGTGCACAGCGTGTCAACATACACGTGTCAGAGCGGCCGGCAGGCAGCCCTGGCCCTGGGCCTTCGGGCAAGCCTGTGCGGGCCTGGTGGCTCCGGGGACTCACGCCCTCTGGGGTGGTCAGGGCGGGACGGCACGGTGTGGGTGCGGGGCTGCACTCTGCACCCACCTTTGCTCCCTGCAGGTCCACGGGGTTCCGTGCCCCCATCCCGCCGGGGAGCTAGCCTGCGGCTCCAGACCCGTCTCAGGGCAGCGCCGGGACCACGGCCTCTCGGGGGCAGCGGGGTCTGGGGCAGAGGCAGCCGCGGCCGGGGAAGAGCAGGTAGAGGCCGCAGCAGAGAATGCAGGTTTGCGGGGGAGGGGGGAGGTCCCGGGGAGCCCTGGGGGATCCCCGCTGCCACGCTCCCACCTCTGAATCTGCTGGGCAAACTGAGCCAGAACCCCGTGTCCCAATGGGGTCACCTCTGTGCTATGGGCAATCTGGGGCCCCGGGGCAGCCTCTGCCCGCGTCCAGGGCTCTGGCCGTGGTGAGCAGGGGGCAGTGCTTGGTCTCACCACCAGCTGGGCAAACTCTTCCCCTCCAGCTCCCATTTCCCTTTCCCCCAGGCGTGGGGCGGGGCCCGGGCTGCGCCCTTTCTAAATGTGAGGTCGGGGAAGGTGAGCGGCTGGGCAAGAGACCGCAGGGCCGCCAGTGCCCGGGCCGCTGCTGGGGCACCAGGGCCTGCCCCTCGCCAGCCCTGGGCCCCAGGCCACTGGGGCATAGCTGGTAGCAGGTAGAGCACCATTGACAGACCTGCAGGGAGACACTGAGGCAGGGCAGTTAATCCCTGAACCCTGGACAAGCGATTTCCACCAACCACAAAGCCCGGGTGACGATCGGGACTTGAGCCTGTGCAGCCCTCCTTCCCGGGCCCATCCTGGGAAGGATCAAGACTGCGGCTCCCATGAGCCTCGGGGCCCCTGCTCAGGAAGAAGCCATTTCCTGGGATGAAGCTGGGACTTGCCGCTGGCTGGTTCCATGCGTAAACACACAGGACAGATAGGAGTCGGCTAAGCAGGAGCAGGCTGCCTGCCCCCATTCTGGCCATGAGACCTTCACCCCGGCCCCCAGGAAGCACTCAAGAGGGCTTTGTGCTGAGGGCCAGACAGCAGCAGGGTGGACAGGTCCTCTGGGATGCGATGGCCCAAGGCTCGCGAGAGCCTCACAGAGGAGGACAGACAGGGAGGAGGCCCAGGCCAGAAGGGAGGCGCGGCTGTAACCCAGGGCCTCGCGCCACTCTGTCTCTGCCTCTGCCTCTGTCTGTCCCCTCTCGGAGGCTGAGTATGTTTAAAGGTGTCTCTATTTGCAGCAAAACTCTGTTTCAAGGTAGAAATACAATCATTTGGGGTTGGGGGTGGGAAAATGTTTCCCCTCACTGACAGGAGCCGTGGGGTATGGCGCTGGGGAAGGATGACCTCACCAAGCAGCAGAGACCAGCCGAGGAGGGCAGGCTCTGGGCTGGGCAGGCTCTGGGCTGGGCAGGCTCCGGGCTGCGCAGGCTCCGGGCTGGGGCAGGCTCCGGGCTGGGCAGGCTCCGGGCTGGGGCAGGCTCCGGGCTGGGCAGGCTCCAGGCTGCGCAGACTCCGGGCTGGGGCCCGAGTCCTTCCCATGAGGATGGCACGTGGCTTTGGCCTCCTTCTGAGTGTCCTGGGCTGCTGCACCGACTCCGCTGCACACCGAGGGCCTTCGACCGCTCAGAATGCCAGAGGCCTGGAGGGTGAAATCAGGTGTCCCCAGGGCCATCCTGGCCACACGAGGGCTGGACAGAGCCTCCTCCCCAGGGCTATCACACCCCACCTTTCTGAACCCCCTGGCTGATCTCTGAAACCTCTGTGTCCCCCTCTGTGGCCAGCTACCCCGGGACCTTCTCGGAGCAGGGTGACGCGGGCTCAGTGCTGCACTGCCCAGCGTGAGCTCCGTGGCCCGTCTTGGGTGACAGCAGGGTTGGGGAGCCCTCACGTGGCCCGAGCACCAGTGCCTGCCGAGCCGTGTCCCCACCGGTGAACCCAGGCAGGCGGCCGCCTGCATCCCTCTGCCGGGCCACCTTGAACTTCCCACTGAGAGGGCGGCCCAGGACCAGTCACCACAGCCGCTTCTGCGACTGGCAGTGCCCGCCTGCCGTGGCAGAGCCCCGAGGCTTCCTCCCTGCGACGGGCGGCCTTGCGGGCACACCCTCCCTCTATTCCTGCAAGGCAGCTCCGGCCACCCCTGCAAGGTTTCCTGGGATTCCATCCATCCCCAGCTTCATGACCCTGTCCCCAGGCTGCATCTCCCTGGGTATTCCATGGTCCCTAGGCCTCGGGGCTGCCCACTGGGGCCGAGGATCGGTGAGCACCCCGCCTCGAGCGAGGCCGACGGCGCGCCGTGCCCGTGACAGGCAATGATCGCTGCCTGACTCAGAGGCAGAGACGATGGGCTGCGCGCTGCTATTTCAGGAAAATTAATTACACCCCACGCCAAGAGAACTCACCCATTAAATGTCCCAAGCACACCCGCGCAGTGGCCTGCAGCCCTGGGGAGGGGCCGGGAGAGGAGAGCCCCCGCCCCGCCCCAGCTGTCTGCAGAGCTCCCGGCAGGCCAGCTGCCCTCTCCCCTTCCTCACACAGCACTGCCCCAAATCCCTGCCCCACGGCTCCTTGAAAGCCAAGTGTTGGAGACAGCCTAGGGCCAGGAGGGTCTGGGCGGGCTGTCAACTGGGGAATCTCGGAACCTTGTAGGCCAACCACGGGCCAGGCTGTGCTGGACATGTTTAGATGGCTAGGCTGGTCCACCAAAGCTCTTCTTCCTCCCCCTTGCTCTTCGGCCTTGTCTGAGGAGGCAGCAGGTGCCCAGGCCCGGGGCTCCAGCGGAAACCCAGGTACACGCTGGCGTGAGCCGGGCCCAGGGGGCACAGGAGAGGCTTCCGGGTGGTAAACCAGAGCAGCTCACCGCAGTGCCCCGCCCTCGCTGTGTCCTCAGACCCCTGGGCACCCACTGCTGCTGGACCCCGGCTGGCATCAGGAATGGTCTCAGAGCGGTTCTGCGGCTCAGCCCGGCTATGGAGCTCAGCCAGGGAACACGCATTCCCGGGGCTCGCCTCCCGTGGAGGCCGGCACCAGGGCTGTGGCTCCCAGGCTCTCTCGCTGTCGCTGCACACAGCGCCACTCTGCAAAACACACTGGGAATCAGTGACACTCACAGCCCCCCACGAGCTCCCAAACTGACTCAGAATGAAAGAGGAAACCTGAACAGCACCACAGAGACATTTGAAATTTGAATGTGAAATGTTCAACCCTCTTGCAAAGAGACTCCAGCCCCCAACGTAATGAATTCCACCAAACACTTAAGAAAGAGATAAAAACCAGTTTTGCACAAATATACACCCTCAATCAGCTTGTGGAAACGAACAGGTCAAAGCTAAAGTTGATCATGGAATTGCAAACCTCTTAGAAAAGCAAAACGTGTTAGGAAGATGGGGACAGACGGACAGGCAGGCATTTCTTAGTCAACACAAGAAAAGCACTAATCAAAGAGGTATAAAAATGATAAGCTAGAATTCATTAAAACTCACAAGTCCAATTTATTCAAGCCTTTAACTCTTTACTCTTCAAATGATGGACACATCACAAATAGAAAGATTTTTCTCTTTCTGCATATAAGATATATGTATATGTGTGTATATACACACATACCCACATATCAAAGAGGAATCCATTCAAAATGCATAAAGCTCTCCTATAATTCAAATAAAAGTTATGTGAAAACTCAAACAACCTATTAAAAATTGGCAAAGATTGGATTGGAGTTCAGTGGCGCAGCAGACTCAGCATGAGTCTGGGTTCAATCTCCAGCACTAAACACACACACACACACACACACACACACACACAAAAGAAAGGAAGGAAGGAAGAAGGAAAGAAAGAAAAAGCAAATAAATGTAAATGACCTTGAAACGCAGAGTGGATCCTAACTCACCACACGATTTTAGAAATCACTAGTCAGAGGAAAATGTGCCAGGCCTAGTGGTGGTACACGCCTGTGATGACAGGAGACTCTGAGTTCTGAGCTACGTATGGAATCAGTTCCAAGCCAACCTGGGCTTCATACTAAGACCCTGTCTTCAAGAGCAACAGCAAAAAAAGGGGGGTAATAATAGTATGATACCACCACAGACAGCCTGGCTAATGCATAAACACGGGCAAAGCCAAGTGCTGGCAGGAGGGTGGAGCCCGTGGCCCTGAGTGTGGCAGGCAGCGGTGTAGAGCAGGTGCAGCCACCTGGTCTGCCGGGGGGAGGCATCCTCCGAGACCGATGGCTGCTGAGCCACACAAGCCCGTATTGTGCCCGGCCTGCGTTACCCTGGCATGCCCGTATACATAACAACCTGAGCTAGAAACACCCCGAACGCTCGTCACCGGATGAGGGGTAAACAAACCAGGACGTGCCCACCCCATGGATGCAACTCCACCGTGACAGAAATGAGCTGGTGACAGCAGCCAGCACCCAACCATGCCAGGAGCTGGGAGCCGCACCCAGCGCACAGGCACACTGCGCGCTCCTGGGCACAGAGGTCCAGACTGGGCCGTGGGGCCCCTGTGGAAGAAACGCGGAAGGGATCGGGCCTTCTGGCCACCTGGGGCCCTGAGGAGCAGTAAGTCCTTTCAGTTTTGACAAAAATCACCTCCAAATAATGAAATCATGGCCATTAAAGAGCACTGAAGCCAGGCGCCGTGGCGTATGCCTCTAATCCTCAATACTCAGGACCCTGAGAACTGAGCATGGTGGTTTGAAGTCAAGTCCATGAGGCTCTCATCTCCAATGAACCACAAAAAGGCAGAAGTAGAGCTGTGGCTCAAGTGGAAGAGTGCTAGCCCTGAGTGAAAAAAGTTAAGGGACACCTCCTGGCCTCTGAGTTCAAGCCCTATGATAGGGGGAGAAGAGGAGAGGAAGAGGGAGAGGGAGGGGAGGAGAAATAGGGAGGGAGGACAAACAGCTCCCCAAGGAAGACGAAATGAACTAATAAACTCCATCTCTCCTGGGCCCTCCACAAATCTCCCCTGATTCAGTGTTCTGCTTTACTGTCTCCTCCTGGCTCCAACAGCAGCCTGGAGCGCAGGCTGACCTTGGAGCGCAGGCTGACCTTGGAGATGGTCCATGGGCCTTAAAGAAGCCCCAAGAGGGCTGCTGCGCCCAAGCCCCTTCCCCAGCCAAACTCAAAAACGCCAGTTTCAGCAGGCCGGGCCGCCGTCTCCAGGGGACACACACGCCCTGCTGCCTCATGGGAGGAAAAGCCGCAGGGACCTTTGGCTCTGAGCTTCCCCCCAGCCACCCAGTTCCTCTTTCAGCAGATTCGGTTCCTTCTCAGTGGTCCTCGGGGAGCCCCCTCGCCCCATGACCCTTGTGCTGCACCGGGGTGCACAGGAGGCAGCCCCCCCTCCTCCAGACACACCCAGAAAGTCCCTTCACCACACCCCTGGGCACGAAGGCACCAGCCTGTGCCCCGCCCCAAGGGGTGAGCCCTCCCCGGTCCTGCGGGAGCGGCTGGGCGCCGCCCACAGGCAGCTCGCCTTCCCGGGTGGGTGCTGCGCACGTCTGCGGACGCCGCTGTTTACTGTGCTCACTAGGTGTGCGGAGCTGCTCCCGAGTCCTCGTGGCTCCCGGCTGGGGTGGTGCTCGCCATCGTGAACATCGTCCACCCGAGTCTGCCGGGTCTGCCCGGAGTCTGCACAGCCAGGCACGTGGCGGCTGCACGCGGAGCCGCACACGTGCTGGTGGAGTCACGCGTGGCGGCCGGTGCTCCCGGGGAAGCGCGTGCACGTCAGCGCTATCCGGCACGGCACATCCCGAGTCCAAGGCAAGGCTTGGCTTGAGCTCTTCCCCTTGCCAAGACGCCCTGTCCCTGCGCAGTAAGCTGGTCACAAGAGCATGGCCAACTCAGACGCCGCCCCCACCCCACCCCCGCGCCGCCCACCCCACCCCCGCGCCGCCCACCCCACCCCCGCAGGGCTGCCAAGGGCACATAGTACACGTGGGCACCGCTGCGCCCCCAGCCTGGGTCCCTGAGCAAGGGAGGCACCGCCAGGGCTCTGGCGTGGGCTTGCTTAGCTATTGTGGGGGGTGCTGTCTAGTCTGGCCTTTTTGCTATGTGCCACTACCGGGGCTTGAACCTAGGACCTGGGTGCTGTATCTCTTTTGTACTCAAGGCTGACGCTCTACCACTTGAGCCACACCGGTTCTGGCTTTTTACTAGTTCATCGGGGGTAGGAATCTCATGGAGGTTTCTGCCCTTGGATCTCAGCCCCCCCACCCCGTAGCTACGATTACAGGTGTGAGTCCCTGGCACCTGCCTTTTTTTCAAGGTTGAATCATATCCCACACTACTTGCCGACCCCTCATCCACTGCTGAGCCTTTCTTGTGAGTGGCACGTGTGTGTGTCAACAGCTGAAGCCCTGCTTTCAGGCCTTTGGGACGACCCAGCAGAGGAAATGTAGGTTCTTGTTGGAGCTCTACGCAGTGATGGGTTTCTGCGGAGTCTGACCATGGTAGCACTCCCACCCACAGCCCACCTGCCAGCAGAGCACACCCACTTTCAGTTTTACTTTTATTTTTTGGTCATGGGGCCTGAACTCTGGGCCTGGGTGCTGTCCCTCAGCTCTTCAGCTTAAGGCTAGTGCTCTACCACCTGAGCCACAGTG